GTCTCTACCCTCCTTCCTCGTCTCTACACTCCTTCCTCGTCTCTACCTTCCTTCCTCGTCTCTACCCTCCTTCCTCGTCTCTACCCTCCTTCCTCGTCTCTACCCTCCTTCCTCGTCTCTACCCTCCTTCCTCGTCTCTACCCTCCTTCCTCGTCTCTACCCTCCTTCCTAGTCTCTACCCTTCTTCCTCGTCTCTACCCTCCTTCCTCGTCTCTAACCTCCTTCCTCGTCTCTACCTTCCTTCCTCGTCTCTACCCTCCTTCCTCATCTCTACCGTCCTTCCTCGTCTCTACCCTCCTTCTTCGTGTCTACCCTCCTTTCTCGTCTCTACCCTGTTACCCTGCCTCTGCACGTCCATCTCAGAGTGTCTCATTCCTCGCAGCCCTTCTCAGATCCAGGCTGATGCTCAGCTTTTCCCCCTCAGAGGACACAGAGACGCAGCCGGATGTTTAACTGAAGCTGTTTAACTGGACACAGCCAGTGGGAGGCAGATCTTGTATCTCTGTTCTGTAAAACACTTTTGTACAGATTAAAGACAGTTTTGCTTACTTTGTGTGTTGGCTTGTGTTCCTGGTGTGAGTCCTGTGGAGCTGGTTCCTGGTCTGGTTCCACAGCAGGTGCTTTGGTTCCTGCTGTCCGGCATCATCTTTGCCTCCCAGCTCCCAGTTTGGTGAACTCCAGTCTTTGAGTCTTTTTCTGGTCCAGTTTTTAGTCTGACCCCCTTGTCCTCCTCCCTGCCCTCCCATTGGCTCTGTGGTTCTGATGGACAGCTACAAGGACCCATTCAGAAGAAGAACATCTGACCCAGAGAGGCTCCAAACCAGAACCCAATCCCGTCTTGCTTTCTTGACGTTGACCTTTTTTTTTTTTCTCTCTGGAAAATTATAACCTGTGATGATGTCACCAGAGTGGAGAGGACATTTGGAGATTTTTCTGATTTTTACCAAAATGTAAATGTCTTTGCACGAGGTTTATCAGAGGTCATTGGGCCGAGCGATTAGGCCAAGAAGTGGTCTATGTTTTGGGCCTGTATTTCCACCATTAATTTCCTATGGGACGGTGTTTCGCCTTTTTTAGCTGTTTATTCGAAAATGCCAGCACTAATGAGAGAGAGAGATACCAGCACGCTTCCCGGTGTAGGTTCAGACGTGGGGGTGTTTTTTGGGCCTGATCCGTCGAACCGTACGGGACTAGTTAGGCGCCAAAATGTGTGAAGGAAACGGGAGAACTATAAGTTGCGGAACTAGAAAATATCTAAAGAAATTTTGAGGGGGGGCCACCTACTGTCTGTCGAGGAACCCGGGGCTGGCTTCCTGGGGCCCTCAAAAGGGGCCCGGCAGGTCGGCCAATCGATATTTGGGCT